TTTTTTTTTTCCCCCCCCCCCCCTCTCTCCCTCCCCCCCCCCCCCCCTCTCTCTCTCGCCCGGACGTCGCTGCCGCCTCCCGAGACCACGGCAGTCATGATGGCGCGCCTGCGTCATGAACACGCCAACATCAGGGCGGGAACCCACGGCCTCGTGCCGGTGTATCGCAGCATCGCATAGACACACGGGGCTACGAATACAACGCAGGCAGCTGCGGACGGCGGACTACAGTTGAAGCGCCTCTCGAGCGCTCGTCGGAATACAAAGACCCGTATTCCACTTCTAGGGAGGGGTGAGGGGGCGGATTGACGATCCCTCCCAAGATCGTGCAGGCGGGGACACATGTCCCCACATCCCATCTCGTCTCAGAATTTGACCGTTTCATTTATTTATCTAGGGCGGAGCGCCCGCCCTGCTGGTGTTGGTCGACGTGCGCACCGATGGAGGCGCCTGGAAGAGAGGGACACGCGGAGCATCAGGAGTGTGCGGCGACGGTCTGCCGGCCTGTACGCCGGCGGAGGCGCCGCGCTGCAGCCGCTGCAGCTGCAGGAAGAGCGGTGGCCGGCCTCGGAATCCGTCTGCCATCGCGGAGGCAGGCAGCCCCTCGAGCGCGCGCAGCGCCTCGCCGCCGCCGCACCCGAGGCTGCCCAGGCTTGGCCACGATCTCGCGTCGGTGCAGCCGTGCGAGTGCAGCTCGGAGAGCGGCCTACGCGCGAGCGCGGGCCCAGATCGAGATTGCGCCGAGATTGAACCGTGCGAGTGCAGCTCGGAGAGCGGCCCGCGCGCAAACGCGTCGCAGACGCCGCCAGCCGGCTGCAGCGGCACCATCCAGCGGGCGTGTCCGTACGAGAGCCACTCCCACGCCGCCTCTTCGGCCGGCGGCGCCGCTGGCGGAGGCTTCTCCGCCGCTGCTCGGACAGGGACGCCCTGCTCGCCCTGCACGCGGTGTCCGCCGGTCAGCCGCTCGACAGCCGAGGTGATGTCGGCGCACGCGTCCGGTGACAGTGCGCCCGGGAAGATCCAGAGGCCTCGCTGGTGAGGGTGCTGCGCCGCGGCACCGCGCAGTGCGTCGACATCCCACCGCTCGCACTGGTCGCGCGGAAAGACTGGCGGGAGGCCAGACGGATCGGTCTGAAACTCCTCCCCGATGAATGACGACTGCGAGAGCGAGATGCAGACCAGGCGGTTCCTCAGGTAGGTCGGGTCCACCCAGCGAGTCACGCGCTGCATCCGTCGCAGAGCCGCCGTCCAAGGCACTATCCGGCGAGGCCTTGGCACCACAAAGAGCAGGTCCGGCCTTCGCCCCACGCAAAGGTGTCATGCGCGAAAAGAATTTACAGGAGCGAACTCTCTCTCACAGCAGCCCTGTGTCAGTGTGCCTGTGGTAGGAGAGACTGCCAGCGACAAGCTGGAGGCAGGTCGCTAGACTGAGATGAGACCGCCAGTGGATGTGGGAGTCCACCGCGCACCGCGCTGCGAGCCTGTCGTGTCCCTTGTCAGGAGCAGGAGAGAGAGCCCCACCTGTCCCCCTGATCGTCCTTCCAAAATCCTGCTCGTGGGGACCCTGTCCTCGTCCCATCCCTCGTTTGGCGTGTCTGTTTTCTTTCTTTCTTTAGCAGACAGGCTCGACACAGGTGCGAACTGGCGCGAAAAGAATAATCGGGATCTCACCCACGGCCTGCAGGCGGTTCGTAGAAGACGTAGGATTGCGAGCATGCCTCGCTTGCGAGGAGTGCGCTCACAATCCTTCGTCTTCGAGGATTGAGAACAGCATAGAGGCAAGAATAGTTGATAGGTGAAGAACAGCCAGGCTCGGACTGGACAACGCGGTATGGGTGGACGCAGTCATGCCGCCCCACACACAAAGAGCCGGAACCCTGAATGGTCGCGGGCATCATGGGGAGAAAGAAAGAAAGAAAGAAAACAGACAACAAGGGAGGGATGGGAGAACGGCACGCCGCCACCACACAGGGATTTTAAGGAGAGGGGTGTGGTGCGCCATGCCCATGGGGAGGCGGCGGCAGGAGCGGAGCCGTTACCGAAAATGGGCAAAAACGGGGTGATTTTGGTCATCCGTCAAAATATCTGAAGATCTGACCGGGGGATTCTCCCCAAACCTTGCTCAGCTGATCCAGCCTGGGGGGAAGGCCAGCCCTGGGCAAAGAAACCAGTACCTCATCAGGCTTCCCTGAGCGTCACAGCTCGGTGATCGCGCCGGCCGGACACCACTGTAACGTCCGTTCCGGGCATTTGAACGCGACCCTCGAGGGCGAAGAGATTGGCTCTATGGCTCAGACTGGACTCCTCTTGGTCCCTTCTGATGCCCTAGGCCACACCTGGGCCTTACCTGGGGTTCTAGGGGCCGGGCAGGGTTTGCCCCCCGAAAGTGGCCCGGGGAACCTTAACACCTTTATACCGATTACGGCTCTACCCTTTTTTTAAGCCTAGGCCGGCTTCCGGAGACGACTCTCGATCAGACCGCCCGCGTGCAGAACCAATGCACGAGGGGGTGTCAGAGTCAGTGGAGACAGTTCTTCACAGTGCTTCTAAGTCCTATCCGACGTTTCGGAGCTTTTCTTTTTGAGCTAGACTTCGATGTTAATAGATTCTTTTGAATGTGCCCCTCTGTACCCCTACAATCTATTCTTCCCTTCTTTTTTCATCACTACGGCCTGGAAGCTCGAGCAGGGTCGCCCGCCGCACGAACGAAAGAGAGAGCAGGGGAAAATCGCTTCCAGGGAGGGGGGCGCCCTTCTGCTCACACCACATGCACATGCACATGCACATGCACATCCGCCAGGCGGGCTCGCTTTTTCATGTTCACAGGGGAGCCCGCTACGCGTTTTGCTGGCTTGTTTCGACTGCTGCTTGGTTTTTCCCTACGTGATATCATCACCGCCAGCAAAACGCCTAAAGCGAACTCCCAGTTGGGCATAAGCAACACGCACGATGCTCGCGATCCTATCCGCCGTCACCGCCACGCCGCAGTGCCCGCCCGCCGGCTGGGAGACGTGCTCGTCCGCGTGGCCTCCGCCCGCCGACGGCTACTGCTGCTCGGCCGCCGGCTGGCTCGGCAGCACTGCAGCTCACTGCTCCAACATCAACGCCCTCGACGAGTGCTGCTCGCTGAACGACGAGGGCCGACTTACCTGCGTCACCGAGTGCGAGGAGCCGCCGGCCGTCTGCACAGGGGATGCCGCCATCGACGCCGTCCTCCTCGAGAGCAAGATTGGGTGCAAAATTGGCCTGATCGACTCCAACGAGATTTACAAGTGCGCCCATCCACCCACCACTCGCCACCGCCTCTCCTCGCCCTTCTCCCTCTCCGCCGCCCCCTTCCACGCACCACTCGCCACCGCCTCTCCTCGCCCTTCTCCCTCTCCGCCGCCCCCTTCCACGCACGAATCGCCACCGCCTCTCCTCGCCCTTCTCCCTCTCCGCCGCCCCATTCGCCGCCTCCGCTCCGCTGCGCAGGTGGTCTGGCTTCTGCGACGCCCTCCGCTCCTTCAACGATATTCAGAGCGACCGCCGGCTCTTCCTCGGCGAGGGCGACATGTCCACCGCCCTCGGCCTCTCCAACATCGCGGGGCTGCTCGCCCAGGCGATGTGGGAGAGCGGCGGCGAGGCGCCATTCACTGCCTGCGACGAGAACGACTACCCGCCCTCCTCGCCGACCGCGTCGTGCACGCAGCGCTCCGACGGCGAGCTCTACCACTCCCTCAACGACCAGCCGTGGGCGTGCTACGTCGATCCGCAGATGACCATGACGGCCGAGACGTGGGCGTCGTGGGCTCCCGGACCGCTCAAGTGCGAGCCAGGCACGGGCACCGAGAAGTGCTGCTGGTGGGGCCGCGGCGCCATCCAGACGACGGGCCCAAACAACTACGGCCTCCTGCAGCGCGAGGTCTTTTCCCAGGTGCCCTCGCTGAGCGCCATCGACCTCTGCACCAACCCCGAGGCCATCTGCCAGAACGACGACGCCAAGTGGCTCGGCGCGATCTTCTACTGGGCGAACAACGTGCAGGGGTACGGGCTGGAGGCCGAGGCGGCGACCTTTGACGAGTCCCTCCGAAAGTTCGTCGAGTCGGGCTTCTCGAGATCCGCGTCGGTCGTCGCGGGCGCCGACTTCGCGTCAGGCACGGGCGGCGTGGTCAACAACGGCTACTGGGGGGCCACGCCGGCCGAGAACGCTGGCCGGATGTCCAACTTTGACTTCATCATCTCCGAGTTCCTCGCCGCCGGCATGACCATTGAGGATGCCGGAGGCGCTCTCGTAGATGCCCCAGCTGCAGCAGCAGCGCACCAGCGGCGGCGGCGGAGGTGCGACTTCCCCGCCGCCGCCTTCGCCGCCGCCGCCCTCGCCGAAGCCACCACCAGGCGGCGGCGGCGGCGGCGGCGGCGGCGGCGGCGGCGGGACGCCGCCGCGGGTGGTGCAATACTTCTCCAGCTGGGGCATCTACCAGTACGGCAACCGCATCCCCTTCAAGCCCAGCGACCTCCACCTCGACAAGATCACGCACGTGCACTACGCCTTCTTCGACGTGACGAGCGGCTGCGCCGTCGCGTCGATGGACCCGTACGCCGACTTTGACGTCGTCTACCCCGAGGTGGGCATGACCTGGAGCTCGCCGCACAAGGGGAACGTCGGCGCGCTCCGGATTCTCCGCGACGAGCAGTACCCCGACCTGCACCTCGCCTTCTCGCTCGGCGGCTGGACGAAGAGCAAGTTCTTCTCCGGTTGCGCCGCCGACGCCGACAAGCGCGCCGCGCTCGTCGCCTCCGCCGTCGACCTCCTCACCGAGCACGACTTTGACGGCATCGACGTCGACTGGGAGTACCCGGCCTGCTGCGGCGAGTCGGACAACCAGGTGGACGGCAACGACTGGGCCAACTACGTGCTGCTGCTGCGCGAGCTGCGCGCGGCGATGGACGAGCGGTCGCCCTCGAAGCACAAGGAGCTCACCATCGCCATGGGGATGAACCCGCGCGTCTCTGGCGTCGCGCCGCGCGCCGAGCTTGGCGAGGTCCTCGACGCCATCAACCTCATGTCGTACGACTACAACGGCGCCTGGCTGCCCTTCGTCGCTCACAACGCGCCGCTCTTTGAGGACCCGGACGGCACCGCCGCCGGCGGTGCGCCCGAGTTCAACATCGACTGGGGCGTGCAGCTGTGGCTCGAGGACGTCGCGCCGAGCAAGCTTGTGCTCGGG